GAGAGATTCTGTAACGCCTCCTTTGAACTGATGAGTGCAGGCCTAACCTCTTTCAGCCCCAGAGAATTTGTTGAGGAGGTGGCCCTTATAAATACCAGGAAAGACTTCTTTACCATACTCGGTCAACCACAACAGACAGCCTGTAGGAAATCAGACCTTGTTAGCTCCAGTGCTCACGATTTAAGAAGAACTGAAAATTATCTGGCTGAAAATAATCACCACTAGGCCTGACTTGAAAGGTTAGGGGTGCTTTAGGCTGGGAAGGGCCCTCACCGCTCAGAGCAGCTTGAATTGTCACACTGGTATTTCATTTTCCATCTTCCCCTCCACAGGTTTATTTCTAATAAATTAGAAAGTGGGAGAGGTATATTCATTTCCTGTGGTTCGTTGCACTTCTGTATAACAGGGGAAAAAAATTGAAGCAGTATTAAAATGCTGGGGAAAAAATGTTATTACTTGAAGAGTTCAAAGATACTGCATGATGAAACAGGTCACAAGTATGGTAGAAGGAGAAGAATCACAGGCATGCCCCTTATTTGAAACTGGTTTAGGAATAAAAGCAGCCGGTGTCCTTTGAATGTAGAAATACGTGGCAAAAAGAGGCAGTTTGTAGCTGTGTCTTTTTCTTTAGAATGTGTTAGCAAATCATGTAGTTGTGAGTATGCATGTGTAAAATGCGAAGGGTAAAAACATGTTGTTTAGATGCATAATTATAGATAATGAGCATATTCCACCAAAGTATTTTCTATAACCCACTGTGCATTTCTGCAAACACATCCATGATGCCTGTTCATCACTTAAGAAGTCTTTCATAAATCCAACATTACTTATAGTGTGTTAGCCCCTTTTCTCTTCTGCTCTTGGTGTCTTTTTATTTAGTTCTTACGGTACTCATGAGAAATTATGCTTTGTTTTTCCCTATTTCCTACTCCAATTCTCAACATTCAAAGGAAAAAATGAGAAATGCAGCTAAACAATTGGTTCATATTTCTAAACACCAAATATTAATAAATAAAACTTCCAGTTATTTAAGTTTATATTAATAACTTGGGAATGTCTGTTTGCACCTGACTTACCTTGGTATCTAGGCTATCCATTGCTCTGAAGTCTAATGGCTCTGTTGCCTTGTGTCTCACTTAATGCC